CAACTTTAGAATCTCCCACAATGCAATGCTTAAATAATATTGTATTTAATTGTTTTATCCCCCATTATGCATTGCTGTATTTTTGCAAGGCTGGGTTCTCCCTGGGAATCTCCCACAATGCAATGCTTAAATAATGTTGTATTTAACTGTTTTGTCTCCCATAGTGCATTGCAGTATTTCTGTAAGGCTGTCTTATAATTAACTATATTATTATTATTATTAGAATGAATCTTTCAAACTTAATTACAACATTTTTTTTAATTAATATTAATTTTACTATAATTTTAAATGTCCCAAAATACATGTTAAATTTGCATAAATTTCCAACAATGCATTGTGCTTTCACAAACAATCACACCTTCAATGTAATTTCAGACCTGTACCCCGAACGACATCAATGACACACCAACGGGAAGCATCACTCCCAATATCTGACCCTGAGGAGAACAAATATCCAACAACATGGATCGGCAAGAAATGGAAATCATTTGTACGCTACATGGAGAATCACCGACTGCATGTCTTCTACTTGGTTATGTATTTGTTTGTGGTCATAGGAATATTTAGTGAAAGAGCTTATTGTGAGTGCCATTGTTTATCTATTTGAGTAGAAGTGGTATGATATATATTGAGTGCTGTAGGTTCAATGCCTGACACGGTTTGCCAGGCACTTAATTCAAATACTTATGCAGCTATCAGATTTGAAAGATTAGTTTGCACATATGATTGCAATTAGAATCAAAAACAAAAATACATCAGGGGAGACAGCAGTGAACTTAAATTATGTAAATGTCTGAAAATGAGAAATTAAAAAAAAATTACAGAATTTTACATAGAACCATGGTATGTATACAAGTGTTTTATCTATAAGTTTATTGTACTGCATTTCTGCATATATGCTTCTTATTCATTTATAAGGATTATTAGACTGGAAATTTAGCTCAGATTATTATTATAAACATCATACAGCCCTTGTGCATACTTTGCTATATTCTTGTTATATAACCTCTTATTTTTTGATTGGTAAATTGTTTTATTTCAGATTTCTCTATTGAACGAGAGCATGCAGGTCTTCGTATGATTGCGGGATATGGAGTTACAGTTACGAGAGGTGCTGCCAGTGTTATTATGTTTACCATGTCCATTACCTTGCTAACCATGTGTCGAAATACAATTACTCATCTAAGGAGTACTTTTCTTAACAAGTACATCCCATTTGATGCAGCTGTGGGTTTCCATAAAATCATCGCAGCAACGTTGTTGTTGTTTACCTGTGAGTATATCTGTATACAACATAATGGTGTTTTTATAAGTGCTGCTGACAATAAATATGATTGCCATAGAGCTATTAATTTGCACATATTTGTCATCCGATCAATTATTCATGAATTGTGCATAATTAAACATTTCTTAAAAACTTCTAGTTTAGATTTGTATATACCTTGTATCTATACCTTAATCATATTTGTAAGATTTTGATGAAAAAGATTGTAGCTTGAAATAGCTTTGTTATTTGTTATGTTACCTCTCATTAATGTAATTAACAAGTGTTTCTTTGAAATGTATTTTATTTTTAGGTGTACATATCGTTGGTCATAGTATAAATTTTTATCACATCTCAACCCAGACACCGCCCGATCTACTGTGCCTATTTAGAGACTTTTTCCGTCGGTGAGTATGAAGATAACTGCATTTTGTCACTAAACCTCTTCATTGATGTGTTTTTCGACTTGACCTGATTTAACAAATAGTGAAATAATATGTTTCAAAGACCACTTTTGATTGGTTCTTTTTATACTGCACTGAATGATGTGTAACATCGACTTTGATTTTAAATACAAAGATTTCAGATGATTGGACTAATTATTTTTCTTTTCATCTTATTTTTCAAGATCCCATATTCTACCAAAATTTCAATATTGGCTGTTTATGACCACCACAGGTAAATGCTTGTTGTTTTATACTTTTCATCTTTTTTGCAAAAATAATGATAAATTATATTTCATATGGTCATAAATTGCAATATATTTCTAATAGAGCAGATATGGTAACTAGAATTCCATATTCACTATATATATATATATATGTCATTCAATATATAGTGCATGTGTTTCTGTAAATAAAATTGTCTATGGTCAAAGTACGTAATATTTGAATGATTCAGTGTATAAGAAATTGTTGGTTTATATGCACTTCTATTGGAGATGCGCTTCTAATAGAGCAAGTACAGTACAGTCAAACCTATATTTGGTGACCACCCAAGGGACTTCATTAAAATGGTCTGTATAACCCAGAGGCACTTGCATAGTATACGATTGTTTGCAAAATCATAAACAATCCGTTCCTAACGATTATGTAAATAAAACTTTTACGAAAAAATGGACTTTCTGAAAAATCAATTCAATCAAGTTTAGTGAAGGTACATTGTCTCTTCGCTCTGGTTCCAATGTTTATGTGCATCTGATGAGTTTGGTGTAGATTTACCTCTTTCTCCTTGAAATTCAAAATGCACATGTGTATCCCTTGACCAGCCAAGTGCCACCAGGCTGTATACTTAAACCATACTGCTGTACCTTTCTGCGTCAGTGATGTATCAATAAAATACTATAGACAGCTGGTCTTTACCAGTAAATGGATGGAGTTTGGATTATTTTTTATTATCTTGGTCTGTAAACATAGACAAATCTGCTCAAATATTACGGACATGTTCGAAAGAGTTGAGGACACGTTTAAATATCTTTCTAATTTGGAAATCACGCATCATATTTACATCACATTCAAACACTTTCCTTTGTTTACTTTGGACACAGAATCACAGCTATCAGTACACATGGAAGTAGAATTCCATCAATAAACTCAAACATTTGCAAAGTGCAAACGTTCTATTTCAGACAGTAATCTTTAATTAAGTTATTACTGCGAGGTGGGTAAGGTTATCACAAGGATACCACAAAGTATGCACTCAGGCAGTACAGGGTTGCATCAACCTCCACTACATGTTGGTTGACATGATCACCCGTACTGCCTTCATACATATGTTGCAGTATTCTCATTATAAGCTCATATTACTATTACATTAATTATGATTTTATTATTTTCACAGGAATCACAGGAGTGTTGCTGACTATTAACATGATAATAATCTACACTTTTGCAATGCCGTATATGAGACGCCACGTCTACAACGCATTTTGGTTCTCTCACAAACTCTATATACCTTTGTACATTCTGACCATATTGCATGGCAGCGGGCGCCTCGTCCAACCCCCGTTATTCCAGAATTTTATTTTGGGGCCAGTCATCTTGTTTGCTTTAGATAAAATTGTCAGTGTTAGTCGCAAGAAGGAAATGATCACTGTGACAAAAGCTGCCATTCTTCCATCAGGTAAGCATAACTCCCATACACAATTAGAAAGTGAGTATAATTTCGAATTTATTACAAAATTTCTGCTTTCCACATTCTGTGAATTTTTGAATTTTTTTTACAAATTTAAGAGAATTTTTTTAATGGATCTGCTTTAGCAATTATTGTTCAAGCTTTACAAGTACATCCGTATCATAATTTTTCAACCATATTTTAATAATTATGATCTTATTAGGAACCCCTCCCCAAAAAAATCAGGGGGGGGGGGGGCAGAAATAGTTGAATAAAAAAATTCACACTTAAAAATAATGATGACATTAAAAGCCAGTATTAACTGTTTACATATACAAATTTAATATTTTTATTGCGAGATAAATAAAAAAACACTTTTATTTTAAGGTGTTACCTATTTGGAATGGAAACGACCGGTTGATTTTAATTACAAATCCGGACAGTGGTTACAAATCTCCTGTATTGACTTGGGAGAAAATGAATATCACCCGTTTACTCTGACCTCATCTCCCAATGAAAACACACTTAGCATTCACATCAGAACTGTTGGGCCCTGGACCATGAATATGCAACGCAAGTTTCATCCTGATAGTATTTTGAATGGAAAGTATCCAAAGGTTTGTAGTCTAACATTCATTTTCTCAAATTATATTATTATAGTTCATACATATCTTGCTGAATTATTTTCTTTAAATTTATGAATTTG